GTTAAGCAAATCTGTTGTGATACATAGTCAAGCAAATCTGTTGTACAAAATGACTTTAACATTGTTAAGCAAATCTGTTGTGATACATAGTCAAGCAAATCTGTTGTACAAAATGACTTTAACATTGTTAAGCAAATCTGTTGTGATACATAGTCAAGTACATCTGTGATACAAAATGACTTTAACATTGTCAAGCAAATCTGTTGTGATACATAGTCAAGTACATCTGTGATACAAAATGACAATAACATGATACATAACTTAAGCCAAGCCTGTTCTGATAATAAGTCAAAGTAACAAAATGACACAGGAAACTTTCAAATTGAATTTTACAAAATAGCACACTATATGCACAACTACTGATCAATGCCCTTCCTCTTCTTCCTTGATATCTTCTTTGAGGTACTACCACCAGTTTCTTCACATATGGTCAAAGGTGCATCAGGTGTTGATCCAGGCCCACCATGTCTTTTGGCATTCCTCACTTCCTTCAATCTTTCACTGACTCTCTTTCTTGATCGCTTCCAAGGCACGGCCACAACCTTTTTCCTAGCTGAAGGTTTTTTGACATTAGTAGCAGCAGGGTCAGGTTTCATTGCAGCAGGTTGTGAATCATATGTTGGGGGAGGTTGCATTGCAGCAGGTTGTGATTCATGTGTTGGGGGAGGTTGCATAGCAGTAGGTTGTGTGGGATTGTCAACTTGTGATTGTTGTTCTTCATAAAGATCCATCATATTATTCAGCAATGCATCCATCTCTGGGCCTTCATCCACAGTTCCACCTCCAGTTTCAGTTGTATCAACATTTGCATCCATCTCTGGGCCTTCATCCACAGTTCCACCTCCAATTGCAATTGTATCAACATTTGCATCCATCTCTGGGTCTTCATCCACAGTTCCACCTCCAGTTGCAGTTGTATCAACATTTTCATCCATCTCTGGGTCTTCATCCACAGTTCCACCTCCAGTTGCAGTTGTATCAACATTTGCATCCATCTCTGGGCCTTCATCCACAGTCCCATCAGATTTTTTTGACACTTTGGTCCTGGGTGTCTTTCTCTGCATTATTCAGAAACAGATATAAATAAAGACATTTCAATATGCTGGACACAATATTATTCAGTAACAGATTCATGAACACAATACCTTTCTCTTTAGTGCATTAGGATCTTGCTCCTTAGCTTGACACTTCCTAGAATTATGGCCAAATTTGTCACAATGCGCGCATCTATATGCTACACCTACCCTCCTCATCCTTGAACCATTCTCATCCAACTCTCTAAACCTCAGTTTCTTAGGCCTTCCAGGTCCCTTCTTGTATTGTGGTGGCAACAATTCTTCAGCATCCATAGTTGGCCACATGTCCATGCCATTTATTGGACTAACATTGTTTTCATAACATGCCCTGTAAGCTTCTCTCATGTAACAAGGGTCAACATATTTCTCAGGATCTAAGTTTTGATATTGTAATGCAGAAACAACATGCCTACAAGGTATGCCCACAAGATCCCAAAAACAACAAGTACAGGTTTTTTTTCCAATATCAACAACAAACTGCAATCCATTATATGGGTGATGGACTTGCCACAAATCACCACTGCTCCATGTAGGCAGCCATTCTCCACTAAGATATGTTTCCTTATCAAGCCTTTTCCTAGGATTAGGCATGACATTGTGCTTCCACTTATCAAGCTTAACAACACTATTAGCAATCCTATTCATCACGTAGTTCCTAATCCATTCTACCATAGTGAGTATTGGCTTATCCCTAGCTTGTAATATTGTACTATTGAAAGATTCACTCAAGTTATTCATCAAAACATCACACTTAGGGTAAAATGAAAATGAATGCTTACACCATAGTTTTGTTGGCACTCCCATCAGCCATTCCCATGCCTTCTTATCAATTTGTTTAAGCTGATTCATCTTCTTCTCCCAAGCCTGGAAGTAAGTAGCCTTTGCAGCCCCCAATAACAGGTCTCTAATGGCAGCTCCCCCTCCAAATTTCTTCTTGAAATTTGCATACAGGTGTCTGAGGCAGACCCTGTGTTCAACTTGCTGATGCATTTCCTCGAAGACACTAACAAGTCCCCAAAAACAGCAAGACAACAGAAAAAAGCATATACATTAGCAACTTATATATTCCTCATAAATGTTGAACATTAGCAACAGAACAAGGCATGTAACATTAGCAGCAGGTTCTGATAAATGTTGAACATTAGCACCATAATTAATGCTACAGTTCTATGGTACATAATTAATACTTCAGTTCTATGGTACAGAATTAATGCATACTTCAGTACCAGAATTAGTGCATACTTCAGTACCAGAATTAATGCATACAGGATTAGTGCATACATAATTAGTGCATACAAAATTAGTGCACTTTGTATAAACCAGAATTAATGCATACAGAATTAGTGCATACAGAATTAGTGTACTTTGTATAAACCAGAATTAATGCATACAGAATTAATGCATACAGAATTAGTGCATACATAATTAGTTCACTTTGTATAAACCAGAACTATGGCACAAAGGTAAGATATTTCATGAAGAACTTCAGTACCAGAATTAAGTAGTGCATATAGGGAAATAAACCAGAAATATGCAACTAAACCAGAACTATGCAAATAAACCAGAATTAGTGCACTTTGTATAAACCATAACTATGTCACAAAGGTAATAGTGCATATTAGTGCAGAATTAGACATACTTCAGTACCAGAATTAAGACATACTACAGTAGCAGAATTAGTGCATATTAGTGCAGAATTAGTGCATGTTTCATAAATGTGAATAACAAAGGTAATTAGTGCATATTTGTACCTTTTGTTGGTCTGAAATAAAAACATACTTTCTCTCTTCTCCAATGTCTTCCATTAGCAATTGCATAAACCATCTCCAGCTTTCTTTTGTCTCAGTCTCCACCACACCAAATGCCAAAGGATAATATTGGTCATTCGGGTCCCTTGCTACAGCAATTAACAACTGACCTCCATATTGTGTCTTAAGATGACACCCATCTACCCCTATAAATGGTCTACAACCCTTGGTAAACCCTTTCTTGCATCCATCAAAACAGAAGTGAAATCTACCAAATCTTAGTGGTAGTGTTGGATGTGGTCTCTCAGTATTTAGTTTGACAGTGTTCCCAGCACAATGTTTTCTCAACTCAGCTGCATATCTCCATAACATGTTATACCGTTCCTTTGCATCACCTTCAATTATTTCTTCAGCCATAGCTTTGGCTCTCCAAGCTTTCCCTTTGGTAATGCCCACTGAATATTTCTGTCTAAGCTCAGACATAATTTCAGACAGTTTAACTCTCCCTTGTGACTTCCTCTTTTCAACCACTAACTTAGAGACCCACTTGGAATTGGCAGACTTGTTATTTAATACCCTTGCACATGTGTGGGTCCCCACCCAAGTCTTTATCTGGTAAGTGAGGCTACCTCCCACTTTGCTACATAATGCCAAAAACCCACATTTACTCTTACACTCAACCCTAACCCTACAGCTCTCATTCTTAACAAACCTTATTTCTCTACCATTTAATACTGACCAATCCCTGATAGCATCTTTAAATTTAGAAAGAGAAATGAACTCCATACCTAATTTGAATTGAAAGTCTTTGTTAAGCAGCTCTGATCTGAACTTCTCATACTTTGGCTTGGAAGGTTTGTCATCCATGTCACTTTCATCAGCATCTGGACTTTCAAGTTCCTCACTAGCATAATCCACATCTTCACATTTCCTTGTAGCCCTCTTTGAACAAGATCCTAAGACACTTTTGGGCACCAAAACACTGACCTTGTCCCTTTTGCTCTTTTCTTTCATCTTTTTGGGATCCTTGGATGCACAACGCTTTAATCTCAATGATTTCCCTTCGATCTCCACCCTATTCCCACTAACTGGAACAACTACCTCCACTTGTTCAAATTGCTCTTCTTCTACGTCAATTACTCTTTCCTCTTCATTGTCATTGAAACATTGGCTTGCATCAACATAGTCACCAGTACTATCATCTCCACTAGAGGTGCTGAAGTCATCAACATTAGGTACCAGAACCTTGGTCATCATGTCTTCTACACCGTGCTCTACCCAAAGATCGCCGTGAACCCTACAAGACATACAATGCTTAGCAACTTCTACAGCTCCTGCATCATCAACAACATTTGTAAACCCTTCATCCGTTTGCGGAATCTTTCTCCATAGCCTAAAACCTTCATAACCCCAATCTTTAACCAGACTAACAGCTTCAAAAAAGCTCCATTTATCTTCGTCCTGACCTTCAACAGTAGTCTCACTACCTCCTCTATAATACGTATGGCCGTCTTGCACGAAACTTCCCCCATGATGAAACACTAAATTAAACACACCCATTTGCAAGGATGAAGAACCCTAATCGCAGGGTCTGAATTGAAACTGGCTTTTTTTGTAAAATAATTTTGCAAACAAATGAAGATGGATGGCTGCGCCCTAATTTGGAGGGTCTGAATTGAAACATAACATTTGCCAAATAATTTGGGATTTTAAGAAAAGGACATTCTGGACATTTTATTTGGTATTGTGTGACATGGCATAACAAAAATTTACAAATGTAACAAAAATATAAGCCACATCAGCCTTTTAGGTGATGTGGCATCCTCAAGGTAAAAACTGAAACTTTAAAAATTTGTCAAGGTAACAATTGGAACTTTTTTTTGGCAGAGGTTTTTCAAATACACCCCATATGTCAGGGGTGAAAATAGGTATTAACCCTAAAATCAAATATAATAAAAATTATTAAAATATTAAAAAAAAAAAGACAACGACGTCATTAATGAGACACTCGGGACTATGAAAATCCCGACTAAAATAAAATTTAAGGAAAAAAATTAAAAAAATAGAATATTAAATCTTTAAAAACTTGTAAATATGAGTAGCAAGAGTGTATTCAAGTTTTTTCAAATAAACGAAAAGTGGAATTTGGAATTTGGGTACTGCAATCAAATATCCTATGAATACAGCGACAGGCACCGCAGCAACACCAAGTTGGTGGTGGTGCCGCATTCATAACCACCATCTCCATCCACCTCCTCAGTTCAGAGGTAAGCGAGTGAATGACTTAAAAATGCTACTTCAATTATCAATTACACTCACTTTGATTTTTGTTGTTGTTTTTGATATAGGTTTAGGGTTGTTACATAGAAAGGGAATTGTTGAGTCTGTCTGGGGAAGCAGTGCTGTGTCTCGAAGCAATCGATTGAATGTATCCTCATGGGATGATAAACCCTTTGAAATTCTTCCAAATGGTAAAAGGTCTTACTTGGATGAACAAGATGTCGTTGCGTTTATTGACCCTCCTAATAATTTGATTCCTTTGGACCCAACTTCTTATAATCCTGCTGCATATCTATGGTAATGCTCGCCCACTTCGTTCTTCCATGGTTTTGTTTTCATAATAGTATAGCTTCATGTGTTGTGCTTTCTTATATAGGATTGGATTTTGTATTTGTTTGCCACCAAAACTAGGAACATAGATTGTGTTGGAGTGGAGTGGAGTGGAGTAGGGGTAGCATCACTATGAATTGATTGAATGTAACTAAATGTTGTAAACATTGCAAATAAAGTAGTGACTCTATTTTGTAGGGGAAGAGATTCTCTCCTATTTTTATTTTCATGATAAAAGTGTTATCTTTTTTCAATTTTCAATTCTTAGCTTCCTAACAGTGACACTAGTTTTTGTTCCACTATGCCAACGACTTTATGAAGTGGATTTGAGTGTGGCTTTTAATTGTCATTATGTGATTGTCTGCTAATGTTAAATCAATAATTATTTGTGTTCACATCTAAAGTTGATCATCTAGCATATCATCGAGAGCAATGATTGTTTGGATTGATGAAGGTGTTGAGAGCTCCTTCCTTGGTGGTTGTTGGAGAAATGAGGATGGGGTTGTATGTGCATTGGATATCCAAGAAACACTGCTATCTGTTCAGTTATACAAACCACTATACAGTGTATTTGGATGTTCTTCAATAGTGATTATGTAATCTTGTCTTCTAATATACAAAAGACATTTATTTGTATATCTTTACTTGTCTACTCTACATACCATGAGATGAGAGGGTTAATTTTAACTAGGTTCTTGATAGATTTAGTCATGTTGCAGTTGTTTCAATGAAAGTTTTTAAATCTGCTGAAATTGATCTTTCTCGCACTTGCTTTTAATCTTTATGTTCAGGAAAAAGATTGAAGATATTCCGGAGGAAAGGCGTCATCGACTACTGCCACTGATAGAACCTAGGTCTTGTCCTCACTCTTTTCTTATATGCCCATAATATTCTAAACCGTAGTTGGTATTCCATGATGATGTTATTGAAATGTGGGTATATGGACATGAGAGATTTGTGCAGACTTATATCAATGGCTTGGCAGATAGCTGGTACACGATATGAGGATCCCAAGTTAGTACGAAAAAGTGAATCTACATTGTTGATCAACTCAAACAAAGATGATTTGATGGTTGAATATTATAAATGCCGAACAAGTGGAGGTAAATGAAGTGATTAATTACTTTTGTTGGTGTTTGTCATATTGAAGTTAAACACAATGAATTAGATTCTGTTTGAGTTTACTTATTTGAGCTAATCTATTGGCATAAACACTTGTGAGTTTACTTGGTAGAACTTATGAAAATAGTATATGACACGTCCATAAATTGTTTTCAGCTTATTTTCAGAAGTTCTCCACCATCGCTTAAAAAAACATCTTATATGAAAACAATTTGACTTTTATTTTATCTTTTGTTATAGAAATAGCTTATACATAAGCACTTATATGATAAGCACTTATGCTATAAGTGTTGATTAAGATGCTCATCCAAACAAAGCCTGGATGCATTCCTTCCTAATACTCCTTTGTGTTCTAATGTCAGATGGGGTGTAATGAATGGAGGGTGAATACAAAATGGCTTCCTCGTATTGCTCACTAGCCATTATACCTTAGTTTTTTTCTTCTACTTGACTTTCCAAAAAATAATACACTTTAAATTGAATTACTAAATGTTTCTTTCTGTGCAACTTCAACCTACCTTCTTTGATAGTTTTCTCTTCCAACATTATGTTGGTGTTGCACCTAAATGTGTATTTCATTTCGTCTTAAAATTAATTTGTATGGTTCTGCGTATATTTTGCCTTTAGTTTTTAGCATGTCTCAATCTTCAAAAACCTGAAATATCAATATTGAACTTTTTGAAATAGGACCAATGCCAATTTCCTGGATTAATTCGTTCAGAAAGGTAAACTTTCAGTTTTCTACTGTTTTTTAAATCTCATGTACTATATATTTGAAGACTTTGGCTGATTGTTTTGCTACTTTTTAAGGTTATATTTTCTTGCAAGGATGGGAAGACCTATGGGCGGCTCATTGGTGAGTTTCTTAATTTTCGGTAAAGAACTCACAAAAGATGTGTAGTTTATTTAATTGAATACTACCATATATCTTTCCAAATTCATGCGATAGTGTAGTTAATAGATGACTGCTCAGTTATTTATATGGTGCTTCTCTCTACATTGTTGTAGAAATAGTTATTATATGTGATACATGCACACGGGCGTGCACATTACTTTCTCATATGCACAAATCTTGAAATTGTTCCATGATATTTAACACGTTCCCTTTTTTTGCACAAGTCTTTAAATCTCGGTTTCTCGGTCTTAATGCGTCAATAATCAATTTAGAACCGTAGAAGTTTATTGACCAGGTCATAAACATATGCCGGTTTTCCTCAACACATCGATTTAATTATGGATTTATTAAGGTTCTTTGAAGAGTTCATTTCTCCTGCTTGGTTTTTTATTGTAATCCTATTACTGCACTGTCATAGTTTTTTCAAGCTTAATTTAATTGTCCTTACTATAACATATTTTCTGAACTTCACAATCACACAGGTGGATCAGTTTTGGCTTCATTTGCTGATTCTTTTGCTCCTCTGTATTTTACAATGACACAAATTAAGGAAGTGCTGTCAACTGAGGAGCCTTGTGATTTATCATATGAATTTGGGGATGGGATGTATGATATCAAAGAACTTCCACTAGGATTTCCAAAACCAGGTAGGGGCTATTTAGTTTCTTTCATTCAGGGTTAGTCTTATTACCTACTGCTGTAAGTTTATATTTGACATTGTTAAGTATTCGACATTGTCATAGTTTAGTTGGCTCAAAAAAGTACTAAAAAGTACAAATAAATCAAGGTTATTGATCTGACCTGATCAGAAGGTTTAGACCGTCACGGCTTGCTCCGAGCTGAAGGCTTTTTGAACGAGGAGGGGGGGGTACCTGCAAGGCACTCCGATGCTAAAGTCAGTGGGAGTACGAGCAGATAATAGAGTTGAGGTTAGAATGATGAATACCTGACCCTCTGGAAACAGAGGGTATTTATAGCCCCCAGCGCTGGGCCAAGGTTCCTTCATTGGGCCGGGCGGATTTGGCCCAATGGAGGAACTGCCAGGTTCTACGTGGGTAGTGGGGACCCGCACGTGGTCCCCTTCCTGGATGTGCTGTGTGAAGTGCGGGCGGACGAAGACGCGGTCTTTCCGGAGTATCGTTGGGGGAACGGTGGACTGAGTCTGCCCTAGCCGAGTAGCTCGGGCCCATGTCGAGCTGGGCAGCACGGTGCTGAGCTCGACGCCAGGACCTCGAGCTGGACGGCGGGTGTCGAGCTGGACGCCAGGACATGGAGCTGATGGCAGGGTGTCGAGCACGACTTCACCGCGTGGGTTGGACATCGGGATGTCGAGGTGGACATCAGGGTGTCGGGCATGGACGTGACCCCCTTTGCCCAGTGTGGTCCTTAGTGAGTCCTTTTGGACTGGGCCTCAGTAATGCTTTTGGGCCTGTCGGGCCCAGTCCAGAACAGGAGCCCCCCAAGTCGTGGTTCCTTTGCGAGGAGCCATGACTTGAAACCAAGTTGTTCCGTCGTTGAGGTCTCGTGCCCGGGATGGAGGTGTGGGCCCTCGAGGGGCCTCCTCGTGTCGTGCTCGGAGATGTCCTCGGTGGTGGGTGCGCGGAGGATCCGTACCGGGCGCGTCGGTCGAGCACACGAGGCATCTTTTGGGAGCTGTGCCGCCACCCTAGGGGGTAGGGCCATCATTGCGTTGGGGGCAGCGCGTCGAGGAGATGGAGTCCGTGTTTAAACGAGGTGACGTTTGGTATTCCACGTCATCACTATAAATAGGATCCTTGGGCCCCATAATACGTTTTCCGTTCTCCGTGCTCTCTCCGTTGCCGCTCTCAACACTTCCTCCAGTTGCAACTTCCCGTCTCAGATTCTTCATTTCTTAGCCAAATCCCAAACTTTGATCCAAGTAAGTGATCTACTTTCTTCGTTTTTCCGTTTTAGAATGCATGATTCCTGGAAATTGTAGATGTTTTAGGACCGTGCGTGTGGGATTAGCCCGGTAAACTCGTGTTTTGCCCGACATATTCATGTCTAGGACCGGCAAACGCATACTTGTGGCCGACACATTCATAGTTTTAAGTGAAAAACTTCAGAGCTGCCCGGGGTCTTCATGATCCGGGGCGCCTGATTCATGGCGGTGCCCGGTATGTTTATGGTCGTGGCCTTGGGTTTCATAGTGCGGCTCGCCATGTTCATACCTCGGGTCGACATGCTTGAAGAGTGGCCGCGCAGTTGGTTTGAGGGAGAACACTGGGTTCGGGAGAGTCGGGGAGGCATCCACTTGTGAAAACGGACTTGTGTAGTCGTATATGGACGACATGATTATGTCGAGCATAGGACTTCATGCTCAATCTGATTGGTTTCCCGTGCTCTGCAGGTAACCATGGCGGATGAGCCGAGCTCCTCCGGTCGTCGTGATCGCGAAGAACAGAGTGCCGACGAGTCGGCCACCCTTATAGATACCGTGACCGACCCATCGCTGGAATGGGTGGGTGTCGAGCCTCGGGGGACCGCGTCGATATACAGTCGGGATGATCGACATCCATTCACCGCTATTGAAGAGGGTCAGGACCAGCCCGACTTCCAGCAGAATTTCGTGGTCATGCTTCCGTCGACCAATGCAAGAATTTGCTCGGTGTATCCGAACTACAACCTCGCGATGTATGAGATCGCGTTTAAAGACTTAGGGCTGCGGCTGCCGTTCACAGATTTTCAAGCCGGGGTCTTTACGCATTTGGAGCTGGCCCCGTCCCAGCTACACCCAAACTCTCTCGCCTTCATCCGGGCGTTTGAGCTGACGTGTCGCTACTTAAGGATAGGGGCGACCATCCCTCTTTTCTTTCGGGTATTTCACCTGCAGCGTCAGTCCCGAGGAGGGAAGCACAGGGGTGTCTCTGAAGCAATCGAGGAGACTGTTCAAGATGTATATGGACTCCGTGAGGGGGTTCAAGGACAAGTGGTATGTGGTACGCCCTATTACCGACTCTGCTGTAGATTCCCTTTTCGAGGAGGAAGGGCCGGTCAGCGATGATGACGGGGAAGCGATGGTGGCCGACGACGGGAGCCCCGTGTTAGGTCGTAGGGCTAAGTTCCCGGTGTACTGGATGTCCCGACACTACGAGCATGGGACAGGTTATTTCCATACCGCAGTCGGGGATATGTGCACGGAAGATCAGCGGGCGTACGAGGCTCTTTGCCGGTTTGTCGACAGTTTTCATCCCGCCCAATGGGTTACGCGGGAAGGGAATGATATCCTCGACAAAGACGGTTATCCGACGTTCGAGTCTCGCCCGATCGACACCAAGGCGCTGGTGGAATGTCCGACATATAGGCAGGCAGCCCGCCTGTTAGGTTGTTTGCTTGAAATTCTTTATTCGTCATTTATTCATGCAGTCTGCTCGATACTGACTTTCCCTTTATTTCGTGCAGGTTCGATGGCTAGCCGACATGAAAGGCTTCTGAAATTGTCAAACGACCAGAGGCGAGGCCGGAGGGTCGTGAAGCCCCCGCAGATGACGAGGATGGGACCACCACAAAGCCCGAACGCTCCTCAGCCGGTGAGGGTGGACTTGACGTCGAGCTCGGGGCCCGCGTCAGATCCAGAGGTCGAGGAGATTGATCCCAGTGCCTTCCACGCGGGTCCTCTTCCTCTGCGTCAAAACAGCACTGGGATCAATCTCCTCGACCTCTGGATCTGACGCGGGCCCCGAGCTCGACGTCGAGTCCACCCTCACCGGCTGAGGAGCGTTCGGGCTTTGTGGTGGTCCCATCCTCGTCATCTGCGGGGGCTTCACGACCCTCCGGCCTCGCCTCTGGTCGTTTGACAATTTCAGAAGCCTTTCATGTCGGCTAGCCATCGAACCTGCACGAAATAAAGGGAAAGTCAGTATCGAGCAGACTGCATGAATAAATGACGAATAAAGAATTTCAAGCAAACAACCTAACAGGCGGGCTGCCTGCCTATATGTCGGACATTCCACCAGCGCCTTGGTGTCGATCGGGCGAGACTCGAACGTCGGATAACCGTCTTTGTCGAGGATATCATTCCCTTCCCGCGTAACCCATTGGGCGGGATGAAAACTGTCGACAAACCGGCAAAGAGCCTCGTACGCCCGCTGATCTTCCGTGCACATATCCCCGACTGCGGTATGGAAATAACCTGTCCCATGCTCGTAGTGTCGGGACATCCAGTACACCGGGAACTTAGCCCTACGACCTAACACGGGGCTCCCGTCGTCGGCCACCATCGCTTCCCCGTCATCATCGCTGACCGGCCCTTCCTCCTCGAAAAGGGAATCTACAGCAGAGTCGGTAATAAGGCGTACCACATACCACTTGTCCTTGAACCCCCTTACGGAGTCCATATACATCTTGAACAGTCTCCTCGACTGCTTCAGAGACACCCAGCTGTGCTTCCCTCCTCGGGACTGACGCTGCAGGTGAAATACCCGAAAGAAAAGAGGGATGGTCGCCCCTATCCTTAAGTAGCGACACGTCAGCTCAAACGCCCGGATGAAGGAGAGAGAGTTTGGGTGTAGCTGGGACGGGGCCAGCTCCAAATGCGTAAAGACCCCGGCTTGAAAATCTGTGAACGGCAGCCGCAGCCCTAAGTCTTTAAACGCGATCTCATACATCGCGAGGTTGTAGTTCGGATACACCGAGCAAATTCTTGCATTGGTCGACGGAAGCATGACCACGAAATTCTGCTGGAAGTCGGGCTGGTCCTGACCCTCTTCAATAGCGGTGAATGGATGTCGATCATCCCGACTGTATATCGACGCGGTCCCCCGAGGCTCGACACCCACCCATTCCAGCGATGGGTCGGTCACGGTATCTATAAGGGTGGCCGACTCGTCGGCACTCTGTTCTTCGCGATCACGACGACCGGAGGAGCTCGGCTCATCCGCCATGGTTACCTGCAGAGCACGGGAAACCAATCAGATTGAGCATGAAGTCCTATGCTCGACATAATCATGTCGTCCATATACGACTACACAAGTCCGTTTTCACAAGTGGATGCCTCCCCGACTCTCCCGAACCCAGTGTTCTCCCTCAAACCAACTGCGCGGCCACTCTTCAAGCATGTCGACCCGAGGTATGAACATGGCGAGCCGCACTATGAAACCCAAGGCCACGACCATAAACATACCGGGCACCGCCATGAATCAGGCGCCCCGGATCATGAAGACCCCGGGCAGCTCTGAAGTTTTTCACTTAAAACTATGAATGTGTCGGCCACAAGTATGCGTTTGCCGGTCCTAGACATGAATATGTCGGGCAAAACACGAGTTTACCGGGCTAATCCCACACGCACGGTCCTAAAACATCTACAATTTCCAGGAATCATGCATTCTAAAACGGAAAAACGAAGAAAGTAGATCACTTACTTGGATCAAAGTTTGGGATTTGGCTAAGAAATGAAGAATCTGAGACGGGAAGTTGCAACTGGAGGAAGTGTTGAGAGCGGCAACGGAGAGAGCACGGAGAACGGAAAACGTATTATGGGGCCCAAGGATCCTATTTATAGTGATGACGTGGAATACCAAACGTCACCTCGTTTAAACACGGACTCCATCTCCTCGACGCGCTGCCCCCAACGCAATGATGGCCCTACCCCCTAGGGTGGCGGCACAGCTCCCAAAAGATGCCTCGTGTGCTCGACCGACGCGCCCGGTACGGATCCTCCGCGCACCCACCACCGAGGACATCTCCGAGCACGACACGAGGAGGCCCCTCGAGGGCCCACACCTCCATCCCGGGCACGAGACCTCAACGACGGAACAACTTGGTTTCAAGTCATGGCTCCTCGCAAAGGAACCACGACTTGGGGGGCTCCTGTTCTGGACTGGGCCCGACAGGCCCAAAAGCATTACTGAGGCCCAGTCCAAAAGGACTCACTAAGGACCACACTGGGCAAAGGGGGTCACGTCCATGCCCAACACCCTGATGTCCACCTCGACATCCCGATGTCCAACCCACGCGGTGAAGTCGTGCTCGACACCCTGCCATCAGCTCCATGTCCTGGCGTCCAGCTCGACACCCGCCGTCCAGCTCGAGGTCCTGGCGTCGAGCTCAGCACCGTGCTGCCCAGCTCGACATGGGCCCGAGCTACTCGGCTAGGGCAGACTCAGTCCACCGTTCCCCCAACGATACTCCGGAAAGACCGCGTCTTCGTCCGCCCGCACTTCACACAGCACATCCAGGAAGGGGACCACGTGCGGGTCCCCACTACCCACGTAGAACCTGGCAGTTCCTCCATTGGGCCAAATCCGCCCGGCCCAATGAAGGAACCTTGGCCCAGCGCTGGGGGCTATAAATACCCTCTGTTTCCAGAGGGTCAGGTATTCATCATTCTAACCTCAACTCTATTATCTGCTCGTACTCCCACTGACTTTAGCATCGGAGTGCCTTGCGGGTACCCCCCCCTCCTCGTTCAAAAAGCCTTCAGCTCGGAGCAAGCCGTGACGGTCTAAACCTTCTGATCAGGTCAGATCAGTTATCAAGATCAGGATCTTGCCTAAGATCAGGAGGGGATAGTAAGAACGTGAGACATAAGATCGTTACTAAGATCGGAAGATTCTACACAATTATTTTTGTAAGATCGAGATGAGGTAGTAAGATCGTAAAACATAAGATTGTAACAAAAACTATAAGATATTACTAAAACAAAAATGATACTATGTATTTGAAGTTTTTTTACATGATATTTTGCTAGGCAAGTGTATTCTAGGGAAAATGGCTTCTGCCGCACCGTAATTGTTGTGCCTCGGCATCTTATCATCCTTCTGGGCTTGTAATGTTGGTAGCCATAAAACGGCCGATCGTGGCTTGAACTGGCAAAGATCGCAAATAATCAATGGCTTTACGATTTTTTTTCACAATTTGGCAACAACACACGATTCTAATGAAGATCAGGATTGTTGGGGGTGAGTGAAATCCCAAAATCGCAAGAGTTTAAGATCTAGATCGAGATCTTGACAACCTTAATGTAAAGATATAAAGACAGTTTAAAAGAACCAGTTCAACCGAACTGTAATTAACCGTGATCAAACCAACCAGTGAACAGGCTTATTCCCGGTTAAACCAGTTGGTTTAGTCCGGTTCTTAAATATTGGGGTAATTACACTAATCTTCATTGAAGATCTGGGCAGTGGGCAGGCTTGTTTATGTGACATCGTGACCTTGGTTCTGACGTCTTCATCAGGTTTTTGGGAGCCAGTGATGTATAAATGTTAAAAAAATTATGTTGATTATATCAGATGTTAAAGTTTAACCTTTATAGGTTCAAGTTCTGTGATAAATATCTGCATAGTTTATTTTTGTGTCATTGTTCTCATTGTTGTTCTGTTCTAGTCATACATTCTTCCAATTATATCTAAGTATTTAATTTTATTTTTTGCAGTTAAACATCTTTATCCTTTCAACGATCAAATTGTTATATACGTTCGCTATCTTGGGCCGGGTGTTTCCGTAGGACAAGCATGGCAAGAGGGAAATAAGTTAGACCAAATACCACGAAAATTATGTGGTGAGATATTAATTGTGAAAGATTACACATCATTACAAAACAGCCCGTGAAGAAACTTTTTCCTTGAAAAGTTTTGCACATACCAACCAATGCGGCTCTTAAGCGATGATCTGCAGACAACTAAGTTTCTGTTTCTAAAGCATATGTTAGGGAATCATGACTTCGTCGTCGCCGTGAGTTTTCTGTTTCGGTTGAGGCCAATTTGGTATCAAGCTAGTTAAGAGAATAGCGCATCGAATGTAATGTTACATGTTAAGCTGTAAGATAAGGGAATTTGCATCACAATCAATTATTAATGTAGCATGTACTAGAGTTGATTAAAGCCAATAGCTGAAAATTAACTGGTATACGATTATGACAAATCTGAGTTGATAGATTGTATAATAAAAACCTCATGAGACAAATGTGATGCACATGAGTTTGTAGTCTGCAAAACAGACATACAGTATATAAGGTGAGATGTCAATTTTCCAAGTTGTCTGTTTTTTATTTTTGTTGAGGTTAGATTTGTCGGTGGATGGATCATGTATTTCAGGCATAACAGAATACATGGAAGGAGAGGACAAAATATTTGGCAGTAAGGGCCTAGTTTGATGACAATCTTTAAAGAAGGGTCCAAAAGATTGCATGGTTATAGTAATCTTTGGCCACTAATGTCCAAAAATTGTTTGGTATGGTTCACTGTTGCACTGAATCCTAATCATAATCAGACAAGTTCCTTAAAACACGTTCTTTGAAGTTTTAAGCCTTCTCAAACCCACTTTTGGTTATTAAGAAGACTATTTATTTAATTTAATCGTGAAAAATTTTAGATTGTGTTGTAGTATATTTTGCATACCATTCATGTAAGGTAGGTAGCAAATTAGCAATACAATCTGTTTGAAAATAACACAGGCTGTTTGAGATAAGATTTTGTTTGGTTCACGTGAAAAAGGTGAAGAAGATATTGAATAGCAGAAAAAGAAAGTTAGAATGAGTAATGAACAAGTTGTTGAATGTCTTGTCAATATTCATTTTACACTAGTTACCTACGGCATATAAGAAATGCTTTGGACCAAAAGCAAAGTACATTCACTGAATTCATTCACCTCATATTGACCTTCTTCACATGAAGATTTTGAATACTTTTATAAATTTTAAAAATTTTGAATTAAATTTAAAATTTGATAAATAGAGATTAATTTATAGTTTTTGATTTCTTTTTTAGAATTTATTAACCCACCCTATTTGGGTAATTTAAACCCTATGCATTTCCTACAATGCCGCTCTAAAATCGGAAGTATACTTCTGGTGTGTACCATTTTTGAAAAATTTGTCTTAAAATCGGAAGTATATTTCCGGTTTCATACTGGAAGTGTATTTCTGGTTCTCTAGCTGACAGAAATCAGAAAAACCAAAAAATCATATATATAACGAACTTGTTATTTCAAATCACAAAATATGCAATCAGAAAATATATTTGTCGTTTGTTCGCATCACAAATTAAAAATTGTAGAAGTCATACACATCATAAGTGGAAAAAAGACATAAATATATATGTAATACCAAAATGTAATTGAAGTACAAATATTATACAATACAATTACCAAAAAAACAAAACCAAAATACAAATGCATCATCAAGATAAACTACTGAGTATGGCGGATGATGAGTCAGTCTGTCACCCTCGTGGCGTCCCTCCGCTACCTCCTGTAAAGCAGAGCCTCCCCATCCTCCATCATGATGGCATCCAAAACACCTCTAACAGCGGATCCATCAGGAAATAACTCTTTGTTAATACCATCTCGCGCAAGTTGCATGATACGACAACACCTAGGCAACACGTCAGTGGCATGATCCCTCATAGCCTGCTCCTCCTCTAGGATCTCCTGATGAACTGGCCTTGGTGGATTCCCTGAAGCATTCTCTACCATATACGAATGAGACACCTTGAAGAACCATATCATGTAACCGTACTCGTAATTCTAGTCGTCTGGTGCTACGATACTCCTAGCCTCCTCAAGAACAAGATGATTCTCAAAATCATCAAAAAGATCATCCATATCCCGCTGTTTCACAATCGGAGGAGCATATACAGCAGGATCCTGGGGTATGGTCTGGGTATATCCGAATTGACGCATCACCCGCTCAGGCATATAAGCAGCAGTCTTGCGAATCATGCAAGCCAACCAACCTGTAAACAAGGCAACCTCGTCAAACGGGATCGTGTCACGGTGGTCCACGTATGAACTGAAGTGAATGTCCTCATGCACCAGCCGGTCAATGTAAAGCCAGAATGACTCTATCGCTTAATTCCCTCTGAGTGGATCGTATGCGCAGACACGCGGCTTATCTTCAATATAATCTCCAGCAAGTGATCAACCCGGGATGGGGGGAAAGTGTAGGATCCGTCCCTGAAATAAGAAAATTAAATAGTTAGTTCTGAAATCAAAATAATTAACAAACGCCACAAAGACAAATAATTTATACCCTCATGAGTGACATGATGCCGATCATTTGCTTCGAATCCCACTTAATAGCGTCATTCAACTTGGTATACAAGTAAACCAAGCAAGCATTCCCCCAGTTCCACGGGCTGATCGTCTCAAAATCTGCAAAGTACCGCAGGAACATGATATCGGTGTAGATGGCACTGGTGTCCACAAAAATCTGAGTGCCAACAAGATATAGAAGATATGCTATCATGGAAAACCTCCTGTGAATGGTAGTCTGCTCGGGATCACCACGAGCCTTTCCTGCACGCCTAAGCTCACAAGTGAACACCTTATCTAGATAACTATACCTGATGTGGCAACCATGAGTCTTATCTATCTCTCCCAGGCCACTCTCAGGGGTAACTTCCAGGTACTAAACCAACATATCCAACACCTCCTTTTTGGTGATCCTATCATGATCCAAGAAAGGCCTTATGATCGGAAAATGAAGCAGACACGCGATGTCGTCAAGTGTAATCGTCATCTCACCATGTGATAGATGAAACGACGATGTCTCATGGTGTCACCTCTCAATAAAAGCGTTAATCATATCCCAGTTGACCACGTTGTATCCATACAGGGTCAAATATTTCAACCCTGAAAGTCGCAGAAGATCATCAAACCATGACTCAACAGGCGATACAAGTCTACTGATCTTCCGCCCATAGCTAATGACCTTGAGCGTATCAGCTCCTGCATAATAAAATTCAAGTCAAAATTCATAATAAAATTCACAATAAAATTAATACTAGAAGTTAAAAAGCAAAATTCATACCTCTCCGTCCCAGATACGTCTAGCAATATGGTTAGGATAAAGAGGAAGCAATGATAAATCATATGGTCCTCCTCCAAAGGCCTGAGGGGCCAAAGATGCAGGCTGAGCTGGTGCGGCCCCAGGTGCCGCTGGTGCAGCCTTAGGTGTCACTGGTGTAGCCTCCGGTGCAGCTGTTGGTGTCGCCTCAGGTTCAGCCTAGACCTCTGGTGTCGTCTGTGTACTGGACGATGATCCCGTCTCAAATATCCTAGGTGAGGGTGTGTGTCTGCGGGAGGACGGGGGTGGGGAAGGATGAATTAGAGAATCCCGTCTACTGCGGGATGACGACGTAGCAGGAGTAGAAGCAGGAACACTAGAGGCTGAAGCAGTAGGAGGTGCATCCAGTATGGCTTGTTCAGAGGCAGAAGGAGGCTGTATTGCCTGACTTCTTTTTCTCTGCACAGAAGCATGTTGTGCAAGCCTTCCGTGCTTCAAACGTGATTGTCTCTCATCCATATTTCCTGTAGAAGTAAGAAAAAAAATGTTAGCATAAAGTCTAAAATGCAAAATATGGATAAAAACACGTGCAGACAGAAATCAGAACCATACTTCTGATTTTGTTCTTATCAAAACCGAAATTATACTTTGGGTTTCCTCTGCAAAAATAGAACCACAGACCTCAGCGTCCCTATACCCCAAATGTGTTAAAAAAACATTGATCGTCAAATAAAATTTACAAAGTGTTTTCTAATGAGTCCTAATGATGTAAACTAGATAAAACAACACATTTAGAACTCTATTTCACTAATTTGAGTAAAAATCACATAAACTCTAAAAATAGCTTAAATCACTTATTTGATTGATTGGTAGTGATTGTTGCTTGCTTGATTCCGTTAGAATGTTATATGTATCCAATGCTTGATGATTTATGTTGATTTTTTGAGAAAAAACTTTGGTTTTGGTGAGAAGGGTTTTAAAGAGAGTTTGAGAGTGTTGTTGGTTTGTTTTTTCAAAATGTTGTAATGGGAGGAGAAGAGGCATGATGTCTTTAACTGCGTCCAAGAATTGGAATGGAATCAGAAGTATACTTCCGGTTACCCAATTCTTTTAATGTTTTATAGATATGATAGAGTGTGAACCGGAAATATACTTTCGATTTTGAGAGATATTTGTGAAATTTCACGTGGTGCTTAAAAAAAACATGAGGTGGTTTAAAAAATCCCTATTTTTTAAAAAATAATTTATAATTTTAAGTAAAAAAAAAAGGAAAAATCGGGGCCAATTTTGTTTTTAAATGTGAAGGAACTATTTAAATTTAAAAACTTAATACCATAGATATTTTTTCATTTTAAATTTTTAAGATGTATTTTCACCTCCAAAAATCATTTCTAGAGTATTCTTTTAGCAATTATAGTTTTTATGCCGCATGGAAAGTATGCTTCTTAACAAAATTAATTGTTTTTCCAGTCAATGATGCTGGAGAACTTTCACATACAGTCAAAATTAATTTTGTGTTTGGAATCACACTTTTATCCCTAACACAAATATTCTAAACATGCAATAACGTGCAAATGATATCTAAATAATAATTTAAAAACATTAATAAATAAAGGAAATAACATTAAAACAAATAAAAAATGTAACTTTATTTTCCTTCTATAAAAGCAAAAGTATTATATACTATCCTAATTGTTAGTTGGTAAAGTGGACATATCACGTAAACGCACACGACAACATAAAATAACATTTAATTTACACTAAACTTGTGACATTTAGACAACAATATCTTACTAAAGTACTAAAAACAATACTAGTATATATTTGCTATGATGAATTTAGGACTAAAGTATTTCAAAAGCAAAAAAAAAGAAAAATTACTTTGTGGAGGTAGTAGGGTCCACAAACCTTGAGAGGTGTCTGTTTATGTGTCCTACCATTGTTAAACAACTATTACCATAAACAACATATACTCTAAACCAAATATTTTTATTTGGTTATGTCTAAAGTTTTAATTAAAACAATTTGGGACCAATGTGGGACACTAGTACAATTTCATACTTTTTTAAATAAACCTAACTCACAAACTCCAAATTAGTGAACAATTTCATGTTTGCACCATTTTGAGTATTTTCTTTCCAAAAAAACTTTACTCTCTGCCGACATTTTCTTTTACCACTCTAAGTACTTCTCAATGTGTTTTCTCATATAAATAAACCAAATCTAAGTAAATCTTAAATTTATTTAATTAAAAAAATAAAAATAAAAAAATTCCGTGAAGACAATTCAGTAGTTGATAGTTGTGTAAAGATATTAAGTATAGGAGCGTGAGTTCGCGAGACAAGTAAAGTCTGATAAAAAGTTATTTCTATCAAAAGTCGAACTTAAATTCTCTTGAAAGATTTGTAGATGGCATATAAATGAAATTTGGGTCCATAAACATTAAACTTCACATTAAGTGAGAGCACATTTAGTTGTTAGGAGTTGTAGCATATTAATATCATGTCGTTTGTTGGTAAAGTATTTCAAAAGTGAGTCACAAGTTGCTTGATGTTAGCTTTTAGAGAGTTTGTAACATGTGATTTGGACTTGTTGGCTAATTTATAAGATTAGACATAATTGAATGATTTCTTTCTAAATCATCTGATTTCGATCGAACGATCTGCAATTCAACTTAGCATGGTTTATCATGTTTGAATCCTAGCCGTCCAATTAAGATTGAATGGTTAAGATTGCATGAGCATCAAATGCATTGATATCTCAATCCAAGTTCAAATAAAAATTCTCACATGTTATTCAATATATACAAATGAACCAAATGTGAACAATAGGGTGGAAGAGATCAAATGAATCAAAGTTATCTTACAAGACAACAATTAAAGGACAAGAAAATCAGAAGAATAAGAAAAGGACAAAAGAAAACTGAAAAGTTTCTATAAAGACAGACACTTCAAAAAATAACAAACTTATTATGATTTGACGTGCGGCGGCTTTAAGCGTTTTAACTTCCAAAACCAACTGTCTTGCAGCAATTTATATCGGTCGGAGTCTTCAATTATTTAACAGTATAACGATCAATTTTCAAATTTACACATTTTTTCGGATCTTCTAGCTCATTTGTTCTCCAATTAAGTCCAAACCTACCAGCAAGAACGCTACACCTTGAAATAATAAGTAGTAGAAATGCATTCCTTGCGACGATAGCAGGCTCCTAATCGCAGCTGTTAGCAACAAGAATGCAAGTGCGAGCTCTTTCTTATATATCTTGTTCATTTTCTTCGCAGGAACGGTTTCATGGAGTTTCTTTATCTTGGTAAGTTCGGAGAGACCACTATCAGAAGTCCCTCGGTGAAGTTGAAGACTCATTGCCTTTGAATCGCGTTCTTCAGCAGCTAATAGGTCAGGCTCAGACGAACGACCTGATTTTTTGGTGACGATCCATTCGTACGAGCTTCCTAGCTGGAACAAACCGGATACCATTGCGTTGAATTTGGTTACTGACATAGTGTTCTCGAAAAGTAGGTAAGGGACGATGAAGGGAAAGGATTTCGGGGCGGGAAGAATGTTCAAGAATGACATGAATACAGGAATGTAACAAATAACCCAAATAGGAAGCTCGGCTTCGGGGACAAACATTGTTAATGGAAGAATGATGCAGAATAATGTGAAAGAATAGAATGGTAGGATTAGCTTTCGGAGTAGAAAGAATAGAAGTATAAGGTTTGTTTTCTTCCAGAACGCGATCTGCAACAACATGAACACCGCAACATGTTTAGATCGTGTTTTTTTAAGAAAATTGTGCAATTCTAAGCAATCAAAGAAAAATACTTTATTACCTTAGAGGTTATGATCGCTGGAAGGCACACGCGAAAGAGTTGCATCGGACCCGAATGCCATCGATGTTGTTGTTTCTTATACGCTTCATATGATTCAGGAAGCTCACAAAGTACCTGAAACAAGTGTTGTTCATTCAAAAGTGAAGCGAAACATGTCTTTTAGTACATTCTAAAGTGATTTGAAGACTCAAAATTGATTTTTTTAGTATAAAGGTTACCTTTACATCATTGAGATAGATAAACTTCCAGCCATTTAGATGCGCCCGGACGGCTATATCCATGTCTTCTACGGTAGTTCGCTCGAGCCAGCCACCGGATTCTTCAAGTGCTTTTACTCTCCAAACACCAGCAGTACCATTAAAACCGAAAAAATTAAGGAAGATTCCGTTAACCTGTTGTTCAACCTCAAAGTGGAAACACAAATTAATATTTTGAAGTCTCGTGAGTAAATTCTCATCCTTGTTCACAAAAGTCCACCTAGCTTGAACCAATGCCAACTCGGGATTTCCCTGCAAAACAAGAATCGAAAAATGAAATGCGAAACTGATCGAAAGATTATGAAAATTCCAAGAAACAAACTTAGCCACCTTAAAATGTGGAACTGTTTGCTTGAGGAAATCAGGACACGGTTGGAAATCGGCATCGAAAATTGCAACGAACTCGTAATCCTTCACATAATCACAGTTCATCGCAGACTTGAGATTTCCTGCTTTATAACCAGTTCTAAACTTCCTATGACGGTAGATGATATTGATGCCTTTCTGACTCCACTTCGCGACTTCTCCTTTGATCAACCACTGTATGCTCTCATCATCAGAGTCGTCGAGAACTTGAACAAGTAACCGATCTTTCGGCCAATCAAGTTGACAGACTGCAGAAATAGATTGTTCATATACCTACATTGAAAACCAAACTCATCATCATGATCCTTAGTTAATGGAAACAAAGAGGACTAATCCATAAAATCTAATGGTAACATTGGTAAGTAACAAAGAGTACTATAATTGATTTTTAGTCTCAAATTCACTGTTCAACCAACTTTTTAGCCTCGAAACCACGTTTGGCCAGAATCAATTCATTCAAAATCAATTTTCACCACGTTTAGCCAGAATCAATTCATTCAAAATGAATTTTCATCACCGCACAACCAGAAAAGAGATGAATTATCATAATAATATGTTTAAAGGAACCATTTGATGATTTATTGACTTTGGATTAAGGTCACCACCGACAAAAAAAAATTCTTTTACTTTTCAAAATAAGAAGTAAAAAACAGTAGAAAGGTACTAACAAAGTACACAAGAACCATGAATAAGAGAAAAGTTTCACCTCTTTCTCATTGCACATAGGAATCTGAACAAGCACCAAAGGGTAACCATAATTTGAACCTTCCAAATCATCTTCCACATTTCCCTCAACAACCAAAGGCTTAATCTTTTTGAATTTGATCCAAAAGCAACCAAGACACAACACCATTCGATCAATAGACTGAATCAAGAACAGAATTATGCAGAAATTTGAAAGGTATTGAATTGGCGGTGCAATATAATCAACCCTAAACTCCAACCACTTAACATAAACCTCATGAAACAACCCTTTGATCTCCCAAGTTTGTGGAACATGCAAATTATGGTTGTGAAAATAGTACAAACCTTTGAAATGAGCAACAATTTCAAACAAAAGAAATGCCATAGCCACCACCAGAAAAGCAACAATCACTCTAAAAAGCACCTTTGCTTTCATAGATTTATCACTCTCATCACTTTCCACAGCACCAAAAAACAGTCTTTTTTTTACAGAACTTAGCAAAGAACAAAGAGAGTTTCCAATCCAAGCAACACAATTTACAGCTTTATGAGCTTTGAGAAGCAAAACCCATGTGAATTGTTTAGCATTTTTGGTTCTATCTTTGTTAACTGGTTGAAAAGCTGAATCAGGACCATTTATTTCAAGCACTGAGTAATTTGGATTCTCCATAGTAACCACAACAGGGTTACCTTTCATTGAAGATGAAGTTGAATTTGAGGCTTCTTTAACCCAACCCCACTTGGAAAAATCTAAACTTGGAGACATTTTTGTGAAACAAAACCTTAACACTCAAAAGGGTTGGAAGATTTCATCAACATTGAAGAAAAACAATACTCAGAAACTCATAGAAGTGAGTGTTGTGTCAGATCCACTAGTTTTTCTCCCAAGAATGCAGCAAGGTAGGGAATAGAGAGAGGCACTAGACAGTGTTTGAGGTTGTTTTATTGATTTCTTTTTCTAGCTTTGGAGTAGAAAAATGTTTGTTCTACATAGTACATTGTATTTTTATACGGTTTTCGAATTTTAAATTTATTTTTTCACTTTGAACTTTGAACTTTGTTACTTTCACTAAAAAATCATATCCATACTCAATAGTGATACTCTAGTAGATGAGAGAGAAGTAATCTTATTGAGATTGTTAAGACGTAATCCATGTGCGGTGTGTTCATGATTACTCAACAAGTTTTTCTTTTTTAAAATCACCTACTCTCTTTACTCTCTTCATTTTAAAATGATTATGGTTTTAGCATATAAATTTTATTTTAAAATATCTTTTATTTTCACTTTTCAACGTAGTAATAATTATTATTTTTTCAATTGTGTCATTTACTTTTTACCCTCTATACTACTTTCAATATATTAATAAAATTAATTTTGTAAAAGTGTAATGTCTTATGACAACATCATTGTATTTCTTAATTTGTGTGTAAAATCTTAAACGACAGTCATTTTGAAACGGAGAAAATATTAAGTGTTTGTTGATTTTTTTTAATTATATACTCTCTCCTTTTTAAAATAACTGTCGTTTTAACAAATAATTTTTGTTTCAAAATGACTGTCATTTTTACTTTTAAATATAGTAATGATTACTATTTTCCAATTGTGTCATTTACTTTTTACTCTCTACACTACTTCTAATATATTAATATGGTTAAATTTGTAAAAGTGTAATATCTTATGACAACATCATTGTATTATTTATTTTGTGTGTAAAAACTTTAAACGACAGTCATTTTAAAACGGAGAGAGTATATATAAGACTGGTAAATATAATTATTATATTATTAGTAAGATAAATGTTAAGCCCATTAAATTTATATTTACTTTTAGGGTTAATACACATTTTGCCCCCTTGCAATTTGGTGAGATTTCAAAAAAGGACGGTAAAAAAACACAAATTTCATCCATGTATTTTGAAGATTCCTCTATTTTAGATCTTAAGTAGATCTGATAAAATAAGAGACTGACGTGACATCGACACCATGCCTTTTTTGGCACTATTCATTTAAAACATATTCCATGTGTGATTATTTTCATATTAATCTAAAATTTATTTTTTAACTATTTTTTTCTAATTTCTTAAACAAACTAATTAATTACTATCTATGTTCCTTTTTATAAGAGAAAATTTATTTTTTAGATTCATTGAATAATCAATGTATCTAGGCTATAAACATGTCAAATACATTGACTATTCAATGAACCTAAAAATTGATTTTTCTCTTATAAAAAGGAACTGAGGTAGTACATATCATTCACATTTCGTTTATCCCCTGAAACCTAGAATAGAAATACGAATGTTTCGTCGTCTTCTCCAAGTTGTTCTTCTATTCCATTGTGGAGTTTTGAGGTAAGAATCCTTTTTGTAGTCAGTTAGTCGTTCCTTTTGCTTCACCTACGTTTGATTGTTGCACACCCATTTTACTGTGTTAGAAATGGTAATGTTCAACTTAATCTTTCACCACGATGGGGGAGTTTATTCGTGAAATCTTCATTTTCTACAGAGGTGGAGTTGAAACTATCGTTAGTGGCCAGGATTCACACATGGTCGTATTTTGAAGCTTTGAGCTTAGTGAATGAGTGTGGTTTTGATGATACTGGTGTCCAAATATGGAGAAATATTGAAGGGGTTGATGAAGGTTTCTTCTACCTGACTGATGATACCCACACGTCATAGAAATTGTCAAGCATTCTATTTCTCCCAATGTGTATGGCCATATATGGGTGGAGCACAATGTTGCAGACAATTCAATGAGGGTACTCACTCCAAATTGTATAGATATTGGTGAAGATAGTGAACATAGCAGTGATGATGATTCATTAGGGATTAAATTTGAAGATAGCGAGGAAGAAATAGTTAATAAGGAAAACGAAGGCTTTGTGGTTGTGGAGGTTGATAATCCCGAAGAAGGTACGTAACAGGGTTGAAATCAGTTACAAGAAATTTAGATACAACTTAAAACTAACAAGGATTCATTAACGGTAAAGTCCCCCAAAAAAACCAGGTTGGTTGCTCTTTCAATGGTCATGGTTGGGAAACCAAATTCATCAAAGTGTGTAGAACAAGATGGTGATTATGAAAGTGAAGAATTAGATAGCTCAAATCCAGATGAAAGTGATAATGAAAGGATACCCAAATACAAGAAGTTTATAGGGGATTTGCTCAACAAAGATTACGAGTTTAAACTAGGTATGGAGTTTAACTCTCTTGTTGAATTTAAGGATGACATAAGAGAATGATTTGTTTTAAATGGTAGAGAGATTAAGTTTGTAAAAAATAAAACTTGTAGGGTTAGGGTGGAGTGCAAGGGTAAATGTGTTTTTTTTAGCCCTTTGTAGTAAAGTTGGTGACAAACACACTTTTCAAATAAATAATTGGGTGAGGTTACATACATGTGCTAGAGTTTTGAATAACAAGTCAACCACCTCTAATTGGGTGTCCAAGGTTGCACTTGAAAAGAGACAATCAAGTGGCAAGGTTAAAGTCTCAGATCTAATGGATGAACTAAGGACTAAATATTCAGTTGAGATTACTATGGGAAGAGCTGGAGGGCCAAGAACATAGCTGAGGAAATTATTGAAGGTGACTCAACTAAGCAATATTCTTTATTATGTAATTATGCTGCAGAACTTAGGAAGCAAAATATTGGGAATTTAGTGAAAATTAATGTGGAGAGACCAATTCCAACATTTCCACCTATTTGGTCCATTTCTCTAAATAAACCAACTAGAGTGATTAGTATCACTAATCTCCTAAATGATTTCACTAATATTTCATTAGTGGGAGTCATTAGGTGATAGTTATACCGGGTATTACATTCTTCCCCCTTAAATAGAATTCTCCCTCGAATTCAGAACTTACCAAAATAAATAAGGGTAGAGCTCCCGCATCTCCGACTTGAGTTCCCACGTAGCTTTATCGAGACATGACTCTTCCCACATAATCTTTACAAGAGGTATCTAATTATTCCTCAAGGATATACTAGCATACTATAAGATAGATTGGGTCTTGGTTGAAAATAAAGAGTTGGTTCCACTTCAACTGTATCCGGAAGGATGGGATGAAAAAAATCTAGTACGAACTTCCGAAGTTGAGATATGTGGAATACGTCATGTAATCCGGTTAGTGAAGGAGGAAAAGACAACTGATATGCAACCTCACATATCCGTCTCACAATTTGATAAGGTCCCACATATCTCGGACTAAGTTTGCATGTCTTGAATGATCCTTTCAATCTCAACCTTGGGGTAACCTTCAAAAACACATGGTCTCCTTCTTGAAATTTCAAGGGTCTTCTTCGCCTATCTGTATAACTCTTTTGACGATCTTGCATTTTTCTTATCCATTCTCAAATCATCTTGATTTTTTTTGTCGTCTCTTGAATTATTTCTGGTCCAAGAATTCCTTTCTCCCCTACTTTTGAAACATAAAGGTGATCGATATTTCCTTCCATACAAAGCTTCGTACGGTCCATCCCTATGTTAGCATGGTAACTGTTGTTATATGTGAATCCTACCAACGGTAAATGATCCTTCTAATTACCAATACTTTCTAGGATACATACCTTTAACACATCTTCAATTGTCTGAATAGTTTTCTCTCTGTTTGGCCATCATATTGAGGATGATTAGAAGTAATAAAATTTAAACTCATTCTCATTTCATTATGAAATACCTTCCAAAATATCAAGGTGAACTTTGAGTCTCTATCAGACACGATACTGGATGACACACCAAGCAGTCACACAATTTCTGCCTCAAAAAGCCTTGCGAGGTTAACAACCTTGTATGTCGTCTTAACGTGTAAGAAATGGGCCGACTTGGTCACTCGGTCCACAATCACCCATATGGAATCATGTCCATTCATTGTACGAGGTAATCTAATAACAAAATCCATGGATATGCTATTTCACTTCAACATAGAGATTTCTAATGGTTGCAACATACCGCATGGTCTCTGGTGTTCTATCTTAACTTGTTGACAAACGATGCACTTCTCTACATACTCTACAATACCCCTCTTCATACTGGGCCACCGAAAATTCTTCTTCAAGTCTTGGTACATCTTTGACGAACTAGGATGAATAGTAAACTTACTCTTACGTGCCTCATCCAAAATCAAACTTCTCAACCCCACATCCTTGGGTACACACATCCTTTGCTTGATCAGAAGAATTCCATTAGATGCACAAACAAAATCAGGGAGACTTTCCTTAGCTTGCAACTCTATGTTAGACAACTGAGTCTGCCGAAACCTTTATAGCAATTCATTTCCAATAGAAAGATTACAGATTAACACGTCCTTCGATGTCCACTCGAATTGTAGATCGAGGTTATGAAATATCTCCAATAGGTTATACTCAAGTACCAAAAGTTCAGCAGCACAAATCTCTTTTCTACTCAAGGAATTAACCACCTTATTAGCCTTCCCAGGATGATACTTCAACTCAAAGTCATAATCCTTAAGATATTCCATCCATCTCCTTTGATGCATATTCAACTCTTTCTATTCAAAGAGATACTTCGAGCGCTTATGGTTGCTAAACATTTCAAAATAAACTCCATATAAGTAGTGTCGCCACACTTTAAGTGCAAACACAGTAACAACAAGTTCAAGGTCATGGTAGGATAGTTCTCTTCATGAGGTCTCATCTGTCGAGATGCATAAACCACAACCTTCTCATCTTGCATTAACATTCCACCTAGTCCCTTATTCGAGGCTTTGCAGTAAACTTCATATGGTTGATCCAGATATGGAATCACTA